CTGTCCTGATGGCCCACCTTTTTGCTCCCTGTCCCTGTCCTGATGGCCCACCTTTTTGCTCCCTGTCCCTGCCCTGACGGCCCACCTTTTTGCTGCCAGCTCCCTGCCCTGACGGCCCACCTTTTCGCTCCCTGCCAGCTCCCTGCCCTGACGGTCTCGGGGTCCCAGAGGACCAGGTTGGGAAACACTGCTTTAAACTACAGAAGACCTTGTATGGTTTGAAGCTAGTTATCTACACGAATTGAAGTTTAAATACTGTGCTCAGCTCTGTGCTTTAGTAAACATTCCTCCGTACGAGGCTGGAGGTCAGCTGCTGGTAGCCACAGCGCTAGCTGTGCAGGGAATGAGGACCATGGGGAATGCGGCTTGGGAGAGCTTGGCTGGAAGGCTTTCAGGACCTCTGACCGGCTATGATGTTTCGAAGACCGAACGGAATGCCGCGAGCTCCTGCCCTCGTCACCTACCTTCATAGGGACACTGGGTCTGGGGCTTCGGCTGAGCGACGGGTGTGACATTCTGGTGCTAATGGGCTCCCTCCACAGCCGACCGAGCCAAAGTGCGTACCGGTATGTTGGGACCCATGAAGAAAAGGGAAAGACGTTTCGCTCATCATTTCTGTTTATCATTTGGCGGCATGAATGATCAACACTAGCAGAGCACTGTGCCTTACTGTGAGTTTAGTGCCCCCTACTGCCCATATTTATATGACTCTTCACATGTTTTGTGTTTTCCTTTATTTTACTGTTATTCTGCTTGTCCTGTTTACCTTTTTCTCGCTTAGTCCCTAATGTTATTACCTTTTTCCTCCACACCTTCCCCCGCCCCCACCAGGCACTGTGCATTTTGTCTGTACTGGTCAAGGCCCCATAAGGTGGGAGGTGTTCCTGGCGACTGCCTTGATCTCAGATGATATGAACTTTCTTTATTTCCATATGTCGGCAAATTGTGTCATCCAAAAAGTGACATTGTATTCAACTGATGATTATGAATATTCTCCCTGAACTAGCAATGGCTCTCGGATCCACCGTCCTCCTACATTTCCTGTTTATTTATTTTTCAGTCTATATAAGGCGTAGGAGGCCTTGTTGTGTAGGCCTCGACAGCCATTGCTAGTTTTTGTCTTCAGGTTTCGTTGAACAAAAGGCAAAGTAATTGAATTAGCATTGATAGAAGTAGTAGAGTTAGTGGTAATGTTAAGGGATATGACTGAGAAATGTTTACCCCTTGTCTCAAGGGGTTTGTAAATATGCTTTAATATCATGTGAGCAGAGTTCTAGGGGCGGATGTGAGGTGAGGCTTTTGTGTGTGTCTGTGTGGTTTTCAGAGGACATCTTTGATTTTGTTTTGAATTATGTTGTCTTATAATATTGTCATCATTGAACAATTGTTTTTAAATTATTTTTCGTGTAACTTCTGAAGTCTTTGTGTGTGAATTTTGAATATTTTAAAGGGAAGGTATGCAATGGGCAGCTTCTCTTTGCTGCTCTGCTAGCAGTAAAGGTTTTCAGGGACAAAAGCAGAGAGAAAAAGCCGTCCTAAGGTTTCCAGTGATGGGGTTTGTCATCCCCTGGTCTGAGAAAGGAGTTCTATACCAGTCCCCTCTTAATTTGCCGTTGGTTGGTTGGTTGGTTGGTTGTTTTCCTTTCTGGTATACTTTAAAACCAGCAATTTACATTTTGTAGGTGTGTTTCAATTCTAGAGGGGGTTGCTGTGCAAGGTGGTGGTTTTGTAGAACATTTTATGGCCTTGATTGCTCATGTACTGAAGTCATACCAGGTGTCCTAAAAAGTGTCTGGGTCTCCCCCATAATTCTTTTTGACAACTAAGGCATCACAGTTTTATCGCTTAAACGGGAAAAAAAAACTAAACCACACATCCTACAGTCAGTCTTTTAATATTAGATTTTTTGTTTTTTTTTATTATTATTAATTAGAATTTTTCTTGCTTGAAAGACAAGTTGTCAAGATCACTTTTCTCAACCCAAACATAATGGCATAAAATCGTCAGCCAGGAAAAGCCACCTTAAAAACAGCCTGAATTTTAGCTTGCTATTTACTGAAATACCAGCGTTTATTTTCGGACTCTCGAGCCAAAATGTGTCGTGGAAACAAGCATCTGCACGCCTGCTTTCCTCCGATTTGTCAGCTTGTGGCACCAGTGTGTGATTCACCACTCTATCCTGCTATGTTTTGCTGGACCAGTAATCTCTCAGGGTTGTTTGGCAGTGTGTAAAGCTTCCGTTATTTTTTTTTTTTTTTAAGTATTATTTTAACATGTTTTAAGCCATGCTTTTTATGGTTATCTGGGTTTTGAACTGAAGATGTAGAAATGAAATGTCAGCACAATGGTTTAAGGTTGTATGTATAAACAAACTTTGTACAATGTGGATGGTACAATGTGGTGTGGCTGGTCTTCGGGAACATGGTGGGCTTTGATTTGCCGGCATGAACTGCACTGTTTCTCTTGCTGTGTACTCCGCCGTGATTGGTCCACCTGCGCCATTCCACTTTGTGTTTTGATGTTTTAAAAAAAAAAAAAAAAAAGTTGGACGCTGGAGATCTACACCATGTTTCTGACCACTGAGAAATGACAAGCTGTGTCCGTCTGTCTGTCAGCCTTGTCCCTTCCCTGTTCTCCCATGTTCTTATCCATAAATGCACTATTTTTTGTTTTTCGTACTCAGGAACAACTTATGCAGTGAATGAGAACGGGTGGTGCGTGCGGTAATGAGGGTGGAGGTGTTGCGTGTGTCGGTGGAGATGCACTGAAGCCACAATGATATCCTCTCATCAAAAGCCAGCTGTAAATCCTGCTCTAGAACTACACCTGAGAATCGATACAATTAAAAAAGATTTTGATGTCCAAAAAAGCAAACTGGAAGGTGTGTGGTGTGCGTATTTTATTTATGGATCGTTCTAGGCTTCGTAAATTTAATCATCTTAATGGCAAAACATTTGGGGCTACAAAATTTTCATTTACTTGAAATGACGAGGATGGCTTTTCGACCTTCTGTGGAACTGACCTACGTTAGAAATGAAGCACAGTGGCTTGTAATTACAATGGGCCATTATGTCCAGAAAATTATAAAGGTAGGTGGACATAAAGGGGTTAATTGGGTCACCAGGTATTAAGGGGTAATTCCTCTGGAGGAGCAATGATTATATACACATAATCAGCCAGTTAATCATATCACCTCTGTGTAGAATATGGACATTAATTAACGTCATCAGACGGTGCTTGAAGTCCCAAAACCTTTTTATGGTGGTTAGTAAAAATACTATGTTTTTTTAGACTGATTTGCAGTAAGATATTTAAAAGTCTGTTAATGGAATATTAAAACTTGGAGATGCAGGTACTGGAAGATCACTAATTGCAACTAATGAACAAATATAAGCTTGCATGAAAAACACCAACCATCCATCCATCCATCCATCCATCCATCCATGCTCCAGCTGCTTATACTGCAGAGGGTCTTGGAGAACCTAAACATATTCTGCGTATGAGTGTTGTCGGTTGCGACTGTTGCAGTATATTTGCTAAGGTAAGAGGTCATTAATTTCTGAAGAATGTTTCCTGGAAGGTCTGAGTCAGATGGTTGGGGTATTAGCTGAGATGGGGAGAGAGTGCTGTTTTTGTTTAGTCAGCAGTGTGCAGGCAGGCCATCTTCTCTAAGAAGCTGTAAGACAGGCCTGCAGCAGTCAGCCATACAACCAGAGGAGGGAATCGGAGGAGGAGCAAACGGAGATGCTAACACCGAACTACCAAAATGGCATAAGATGGCCCAAAAGCATCAGCTGCCGTGTGATTGGTCACAAGAGGGGAGGGGAATGTCAAGCTGTGACCTCAGGATGAGTTATTGTGCAATACCGCTCCAAGATGTCAATGCATTTGGAGCTTTTTACAGAAGAACACAATGTTTTATCTCAGAAGATGTATACATAGACAACAGTTCTTAATGTTCATTGCACAAGAACAATAAATGAGTATATAGAGTATAGGAATGAGACACTTGGATGTGACCATGGATGACATGGGAGGAGCTACAGTATATAGATGAAAGGCTACGTTTCTTTGGAAATTACCTCTGTGGGTTGTTTTTCCTTGAAGGCGTTTCTTGGGATGTAGACAGAGTGCCTGCACCGACCAAAGCCACTCCAGATGGCCTTTGAAGCGCACGTTCCATATCTGGTTACTGTCTTAGTAAGGATCCTATCATACACCAGTCACTATAAGGGCTTCAGCTGGTCACCCCCTGCTGGTTTACGGCAGCTATACCTTTGGTCTTCTTAACCACGTAAGTGTTTCTAACACCTGGTTATCGTATTATGGGATGCAGAAAGTCTACATGGGCCTTGGTGACGGGTCTGTTCACATTTTTGGGCCCGAGCCACTATTTAACTGAATGCCTCCAGTAACTTCAGAGAAGGGACTGTTCTTGGAGAAACACCCCTGGAGTGATACCTCAGCACAGCTGCCCCACTAATTTTCATGCACTTCCGAGGAAGCAAAGTACCGTGGGATGATGGTTCGGGCCCAGATTCTCTGTGTGTGCTGGAGCTGGGTAGCAGACTGACCATTAGAATCCCCGTTTGAGTATCACACCAATGCCAATGTACATTTGCTGTTTGCAGCTAAACTATATGACAAGAAATGTGTAATTGAATGTATTGGCATGAATGATACAACGTATCATACAGTCACATTGATGTAAGCCTCCTGTATTGATCCACCAGGGCTGCCAACTCTCACATATCTGGGGTGACACTCATGTTTTCAGGCTTTCATGCTCACGCAAGAAATCTTATAGCAAATCTATATTATTCCATTACAATCCTAAAATCAGCTACATCAAAAGCGTTGGGGTGGTTTGCAAATGATG